TTGGGCCGTCTTGGAGCGTCGGGAAGCCGAGGAGGCGAGGAGGCCGAAAACATCGAAAAACACAGTAGAAATCGACGATTTCCGTCGCTCGGGGCCCTCTTGGGAGGCCTCTTGGGAGGCCTCTTCGGGCGTCTTGGACGCCTCTTGGGCCGCCTGGGGCGAATCTCGGGCGTCTTGGGCCCATCTTTAAGCGTGCCGGGGCTCTCCGGGGCCGTCTTGGGGGCTTCTGGGGGCCCTCTCGACATGTCCTGGGGCCTGCCTGGGCGGCCCGGGGCGGCCGGGGGCCAGCCCGGGGCGGTTTTGAGACATTTGAGCCTGCACCCTTCTGGCACGCACGTGCTCCTGCAATGTAGTAGAGATGACGTTGGGCTCCAGCTTCGCCTCCCACATCTCGCTCAGCAGCGCAGGCGCCGGCTGCCACTGCTCGCCCTTCTCGCAGGTGCTGATCCCAGCGCTGTAGCTGACTAGGGCAGACCTGTGGACTCCGTCCACGACATCAGCTCGACGTGGCCAGTTGAAGGCGCTCTCCACACCCTCCAGGACCTCCTGCTCTCCTGTGTTCCTCAGCTGCTGCTGCTACTCGGAGGTCCTGCTGCTTCCTCCCCCTCCTCCTCCTCCTCCTCCTCCTCCTCCGCCTCCTCCTCCTCCTCCTCCTCCTCCTCCTCCTCCTCTTCCACCTTCTTCTCCTCTTTCGCTGGATTCTCCATGCCCTCGGTCGGCAATCGTCGATCCTACGACGACTCTCCCCAACAGAGAAACATCGAAGGCCCTCGGAGCGTCCAACATTGTTCTTGTGTGTCTTCGATATGCCGGTCGCCTCTCGTCCGCTCCCCCCCTCCTGGAAGCAATTCCGAGGCCACTTAGGGCTTCGCGGGGGCCGTTTGGGGATCTCTTGGGGCGTTTTTGCGTGCGATATGCCTGTCGCCTCTCGTCCGCTCCCCCGCTCCTGGAGGGAATTCTGAAGCCACTGAAGGCTTCGTGGGGGCCGTTTCTGAGCCTCTTCGGCCTTCTTTTGGGCCTCCCGGGGAGGCTGGGCCCTTTCGGGCCGTCTTGGGTGCCTCTTGGGCCGTCTTGGGGCCGTCTGAGGCCCGCCTCGGCGCCTCTTGGGCTGTCTTGGGCCGTCTTGGGCCGCTCCTGGGGCCGTCTTGGGAGCCTCTTGGGCCGTCTGGGGCGCCTCCTGGGCCGTCCTGGGGCCGTCCTGGAGCGTCTTGGGACCGTCTTCGGGCCCTCCTGGCCCGTCTTGGGGCTCTCTTGGGGTCCTCTTCGGCCGTCTTGGAGCGGTCGGGGGGACTTCTTGGGCCGTCTTGGAGCGTCGGGAAGCCGAAGAGGCGAGGAGGCCGAAAACATCGAAAAACACAATAGAGGGCCCTCTTGGGAGGCCTCGTGGGAGGCCTCTTCGGGCGTCTTGGACGCCTCTTGGGCCGTCTGGGGCGACTCTCGGGCGTCTTGGGCCCATCTTTAAGCGTGCCGGGGCTCTCCGGGGCCGTCTTGGGGGCTTCTGGGAGCCCTCTAGAGCCTGCCTGGGCGGCCCGGGGCGGCCCGGGGCCAGCCCAGGGCGGTTTTGACCCATTGGAGCCTGCGCCCTTCTGGCACGCACTGGGCCCTGCAATGTAGTAGAGATGACGTCGGGCTCCAGCTTCGCCTCCCACATCTCGCTCAGCAGCGCAAGCGCCCGCTGCCACTGCCCGCCCTTCTCGCACGCGCTGATCCCAGCGTTGTAGCTGATGACGTGGGCTCCAGCTTGGCCTCCCACATCTCGCTCAGCAGCGCAAGCGCCGGCTGCCACTGCTCGCCCTTCTCGCACGCGCTGATCCCAGCGTTGTAGCTGACTAGGGCAGACCTGTGGACTCCGTCCACGACATCAGCTCGACGTGGCCAGTTGAAGGCGCTCTCCACACCCTCCAGGACCTCCTGCTCTCCTGTGTTCCTCAGCTGCTGCTGCTGCTCGGAGGTCCTGCTGCTTCTCCCCCTCCTCCTCCTCCTCCTCCTCCTCCTCCTCCTCCTCCTCCTCCTCCTCCTCCTCCTCCTCTTCCACCTTCTTCTCCTCTTTCGCTGGATTCTCCATGCCCTCGGTCGGCAATCGTCGATCCTACGACGACTCTCCCCAACAAAGAAACATCGAAGGCCCTCGGAGCGTCCAACATTGTTCTTTTGTGCCTTCGATATGCCGGTCGCCTCTCGTCCGCTCCCCCCCTCCTGGAAGCAATTCTGAGGCCACGTAGGGCTTGGTGGGAGCTGTTTGGGGATCTCTTGGGGCGTTTTTGCATGCGACATGCCTGTCGCCTCTCGTCCGCTCCCCCGCTCCTGGAGGGAATTCTGAAGCCACTGAAGGCTTCGTGGGGGCCGTTTTGGGCCTCCCGGGGGGGTCTTGGGGCCCTCTCGGGCCGTCTTGGGTGCCTCTTGGGCCGTCTTGGGGCCGTCTGAGACCCGCCTCGGCGCCTCTTGGGCTGTCTTGGGCCGTCTTGGGCCGCTCCTGGGGCCGTCTTGGGTGCCTCTTGGGCCGTCTTGGGCGCCTCCTGGGCCGTCCTGGGGCCGTCCTGGGCGTCTTGGGACCGTCTTGGGGCCCTCCTGGCCCGTCTTGGGGCTCTCTTGGGGTCCTCTTCGGCCGTCTTGGAGCGGTCGGGGGGACTTCTTGGGCCGTCTTGGAGCGTCGGGAAGCCGAAGAGGCGAGGAGGCCGAAAACATCGAAAAACACAATAGAAATCAACGATTTCTGTCGCTCGGGGCCCTCTTGGGAGGCCTCTTGGGAGGCCTCTTCGGGTGTGTTGGACGCCTCTTGGGCCGTCTGGGGCGACTCTCGGGCGTCTTGGGCCCGTCTTTAAGCGTGCCGGGGCTCTCCGGGGCCGTCTTGGGGGCTTCTGGGGGCCCTCTGGAGCCTGCCTGGGCGGCCCGGGGCCAGCCCGGGGCGGTTTTGACCCATTGGAGCCTGCGCCCTTCTGGCACGCACTGGGCCCTGCAATGTAGTAGAGATGACGTCGGGCTCCAGCTTCGCCTCCCACATCTCGGGCCCTCTTGGGCTGTCTCGGGTGCCCGTAGGCCGTGTGGAGGCGGTCCGGGGCCGTCTCGGGGATGTCTGGGGCCGTCTCTGGAGCAGTCTGGGCACCTTCTGGTGGTCGTCTTTTGCCGTCCTGGGCCGCTCCTGAGGCTGTCTTGGGTACTCCGTGGGCCGCCAGGGGCGCCTCAGGAGCCGTCCTGGGGCCATCTTGGGCCTCTGTATGGCCGTCTTGGACGCTATGAAGAGAGCAAGCCCAGGAACTGCCAAAATGCACGTTTTCCCGAGGGAATGGGACGATTTGTTGGTGTTGGGGCTCTCTTGGGGGTCGTCGTGGAGCCCACTTGGAACGTTTTGGAAACCTCTTGGGCCGTCTGGAGGCCATCTGAAGTGTTGTCGGGGCCGTCAGGGGGTTGCCTGGGGTCGCCCTGGGCGTCTCTGGAGCAGTCTGGGCACCGTCCGGGGGTCGTTTTGGGCCGTCCTGGGCCGCTCTTGAAGCTGTCTTGGGTACCCCGTGGGCCGCCAGGGGCGCCTCAGGCCGTCCTGGGGCCATCTTCGGACCCGTTATGGCCGTCTTGGATGTATGAAGAGGGCAAGTCCGGGAACTGCCAAAATGTACGTCGTCCCAAGGCAATGGGACGATTTGTTGGTGTCGGGGCTCTCTTGGGGGTCGTCGTGGAGCCCACTTGCAGCATTTTGGAAGCCTCTTGGACCGTCTTCGGCCCCTTGGGGCCTCTTGGGGGCCTGTTTGGGCCTCCTGGCGCCCTCTCGGGGCGGAATGCTCGGATTTTCGGTCCGTGGTCCCCCTCTTGGCCCCCTCTTGGGCCTGTCTTCGGGCCCTCGTGGGCCGTCTTGAGCGTCTCTTGGGTCTTGGGTTGTCTTGGGGCGCTCTTGGAAACCTCTTGGGCCGTTCTGGGGCGCTCTTGGAGGCCTCTTGGGCCGTCTTCGAGCGTCGGAAAACGGAAAAGGCGAGGAGGCCAAAATCCTTCCAAAACCGTCGTAAAGCGAATGCTTTTGACGCCCAAAACCGTCCAAAACCTCCTGAGGCGGTCCCCTCGTCCGCCGCCCTCGCTTCGAAGCAGTTTTGAAGCCCCGTGGCACCTCTTGGGGACCTATTTTGGGCTCCTGGGGGCCTCTTGGGCCTCTCTGGGCTCGTCTATCGCGCCCCTTGGGCTGTCTTGGGGCCCCCTAGGGCCTTCTTGGGCGGTCCTTGGGCCGTCTTGGAGCCATCTTGGGCCGCTCTTCGGGCCATCTTGGGGTCCCGTTGGCCTGTCTTGGGCGCCTCTGGGGCCGTCCTGGGGCCGCCTTGGACCGTCTTGGGGCCCTCTTGGACCGTCTTGGGGTCCTCTTGGGGACCTCTTGGACTGTCTTGGAGCGGTCTTGGATGTCTCTGGGGGGGTTCGGAGCGTCGGGAAGCCGAAAAAGCGTGGAAGCGAAAAACCTCGGAAGAACCAATGAAAATCAACGATTTGACCTCTCGGAGCTCTCTTGGGAGGCCTCTTGGGAGGCCTATTGGGCCGTTCCTGAGGCGGTCCCCTCGTCCGCCCCCCTCTCTTCGAAGCAGGTTTGAAGCCCCGTGGCACCTCTTGGGGACCTCTTTTGGGCTCCTGGGGGCCTCTTGGGCCTCTCTGGGCTCGTCTATCGCGCCCCTTGGGCTGTCTTGGGGCCCCCTAGGGCCTTCTTGGGCGGTCCTTGGGCCGTCTGGGAGTCATCTTGGGCCGCTCTTCGGGCCATCTTGGGGTCCCGTTGGCATGTCTTGGGCGCCTCTGGGGCCGTCCTGGGGCCGCCTTGGACCGTCTTAGGGCCCTCTTGGACCGTCTTGGGGTCCTCTTGGGGACCTCGTGGACCGTCTTGGAGCGGTCTTGGATGCCTCTGGGGGGGGGGTCGGAGCGTCGGGAAGCCGAAAAAGCGAGGAAGCAAAAAAACTCGGAAAAAAACCAATGAAAATCAGCGATTTGGGCCTCTCGGGGCTCTCTGGGGAGGCGTCTTGGGGAGCTCTTGGGCCGTCTTGGGCCAATCTCGGGCGCCTTGGCCGGATCATTGCGCGTCTCGGGGCCCTCTTGGGCCGCCTTCGGGGCATCTTGAGCGGCTCGGAGCCGTCTTTGAGCGGCTCGGAGCCGTCTTTGGGCCGTCGGGGCGGCCTCCGGAGCGTCTCGGAGCCGTTTCCGGCCATTTGATGTTTTTTCCTTCCGGCACGCGGTTCCTCCGGCCATATAGTATAGATGACGTCGGGCTCCAGCTTGGCCTCCCACATCTCGCTCAGCAGCGCAAGCGCCCGCTGCCACTGCTCGCCCTTCTCGCACGCGCTGATCCCAGCGCTGTAGCTGACTAGTGTGAACCCGTGGAAATTCCACGGCTGGCAGGTCAATGTATTGGTCCCGAACGCGCATGTGTCGCCGACGCCTTCCGGTTTGCTCCAGGGTTTGCTGCATGCTCTAGGCTCCGGAGCTGGTGACTGTCTTCGAGTGTCTTCGGAGGGTCTGGGCTATCTCGGAGTGATCCCTGGAGGGTTCTTGTGGTATCGAAGGCTTCCCGCAGTCCAGCCTCGCTACAGCCTCTTGCAGGAGGAGGCGGAGGAGGAGGAGGAGGAGGAGGAGGAGGACGAGGAGGAGGCGGAGGAGGAGGAGGCGGAGGAGGAGGAGAAGGCGGAGGAGGAGGAGGAGGAGGAGGAGAAGGAGGAGGAAAAGAAAGAGGAGGAGGAGGAAGAGGAGGAGGAGGATGAGGAGGAGGAGAAGGAGGAGGAAAAGGAGGAGGAGGAGGAGAAGAGCGGTACTGGAGATGAGGGTCCACGATCCGAAGGTTCTTGAGGGGGTCTGGGGCAGGTCGGAGTGGTCTATAAGGCCTGATGTGGGGTCTGGGGCTTGTTTTGGGGCTTCCGGGTCTGGGGAAGGTGCCCCCTGTCACCCCTGCCTGGGTGCCCGGGGTGGAAGTCTGTGGGCTCTCCGCTCTGGGGCTGGGCGCCCCGGAGACTCGCCTGGCGGCCCGCGGAGTGCATCCCCAGGCAGGCGCGACGAAGCCGCAGCAGAACAGCTCGTTGGACCCGAGCAGCTTCGCGAAGCTGCTGGTCTTCAAAAGCTCTGAGGGCTCCCGAGGCCCAGAACACGAGCGCAAGGCTCATCGAGGAGGTCAGGGGGAGCTCAGAGTGGTCCGGGGTCCGGGCTGGGGGTCTGGGGCGTGGTACGTCTGGGGCACGACCGGAGGCGCTCGAGAGGGTCTGAGGCAGCTCAGAATGGTCTGGGGCTCGAGGTGGTGTGTGTGGCAGGTGAGAGCGGTCGGAGTGGTCTGGGCGCCAGGGTGGGGTCTGGGGCGTGGTGCGGCTGTGGAGCGACACGAGGCGGTTGAGAAGATCTGGAACAGGTCAGAGTGTCTAGGGCTCGGGGTAGTGTATGGGGCTTGGTCTGGGGCTTGTGAGCGCATGGGAAGGGCCCCCCCTCCCTGGGTAACGACGGTATCTGAAACCGTGGCAGCATGCCGCGACGGCGGCTGGGGTCGACAGGAAGCTCCCGAGAGGGTCTGGGGAAGCTCAGAATGGTCCAAGGCCAGGGGTGGGGTTGAGCAGCTTCCGGCGTCATGGGAAGGTCCTTCTGGAGCCGTTGTGGGGCGTCCTGGAGGTCTTCTGGGAGGCCGTCGCGGGGCGAGAGGGCTCGGTGTGGGGTATGCGGCTTGGTCTGAGGCTTGCGTGAAGCCGTCTCGGGGCGATGCGGGTGTCGTGGAGCCGTCGGCGAGCGCCCGGGGGCCCTTCTGGGGCCGTCGTCGGGGAGCGTGCTCTCAAGGCTCTCTGGGAGAGGCCGCCTTGGGCCGAGCTGGGGGCGAGGGAGCCGTCGGCGAGCGGCCCAGGGGCCTTCTGAAGGTGTCCGGGGCTCGGTGTGGGGTATAGGGCTTTTGGTTTGGGGCTTGCGTGCAGCCGTCTTGGGAGGATCTGAGGGTCGTGGCTCTCTGGGGGCCCGTCTTGGGCCGAGCGGGGGGCGAGGAAGCCGTCGGCGCGCGGCCCAGGGGCCTTCTGGAGGTGTCGGGGGCTCGGGAGAGCCGCGCCGCGGGCCCAGGAGCCGTCGGCGAGCGGCCCAGGGGGCCTTCTGGGAAGCCGTCGGCGGGGCGTGTTCTTGGCGTTCCGGCTGGGTTTCCGCACGCCCCGCGGGCCGACGAAGCACCCTGGGGCGGGTTTACGACTCAAAGCCATGCTCGCACGCGCTGCGGCCAGAATTGTAGCACAGATGACGTTGGGCTCCAGCTTCGCCTCCCACATCTCGCTCAGCAGCGCAAGCGCCCGCTGCCACTGCCCGCTCTTCTCGCACGCGCTGATCCCAGCGGTGTAGCTGATGACGTTGGGCTCCAGCTTCGTCTCCCACATCTCGCTCAGCAGCGCAAGCGCCGGCTGCCACTGCTCGCCCTTCTCGCACGCGCTGATCCCAGCGGTGTAGCTGACTAGGGCTGACCCGCGGCCTTCCGGCCGCGGAATCTGCCCGCCATGGCGTGGACGTGGAAGTGGAGCGTCTCCGGGGCCCGGCAGGTGAAGGGGGGGTGGAGGGGACGGCGTGGATGGAGGAGGTGGCCGCTGGAGGCGGAGATGGGGCGATGCAGGCAAGTAGGCATGAAGGCAGGAACGCGGTGGTGGAGGCGGTGTCAGTGGAAGCGCACCCATGTAGGCATGACATGGTGTGGACAGAAGCTGTTTCTCACGCCCCAGTCTGTGTTCATCATAGCTTCTGCGGGGAGGGTAGCCGTGATAATTGTATCAGCTCTTCGCCGGGGCCGAACAATAATTTTATCTGGTAGTGTGGTGACAATGGGGCCAGTGGGCGCGGCCTAAGTGGCCCCGCAAGAGGGCGGCGAGACGGCCCAAAAGGTCTCCAGGACGGGCCAAGAGGCTTCCCAGAAGGCCCCAGAGGGCCCCACGAACTCCCTAAGACGGGCCCCAGTGCGAGGACACGAATCGACATTTTGAGCGCACCGCCCCAAGACGTCCCCCAAAGGCGCGGAAATGGCTCACAGAGGGTCCAAGAAGCCCCAAAGACGACGCTGGGAGAGAAGGATTCAAGGCCTCTTGGGGGCAGTTTGGGGGCAATTTTTTTGCCTCCTGGGGGTCTCTCGGGGCCCTTTTGGGCCGTCTTCAGTGCCTCTTGGGCCGTCTTGTGGCGATGTGGGGCCGTCTCGGGCGCCTCTCGGACCATCTTGGGGCCGTCTTGGGCTCGTATTGGGCCGATATTGGGCGCTATTGGGGCTGCCTTGCCGTTTCGGGCGCCTCTGGAGCCGTCCCGGGGCCGTCTCGGGCCGTTTTGAAATCCTCCTGGGGGCGTCTGGGAGCGTCTTGGGCGATCTGAGGGCCTGTACAGCCGTCTTGGAGACTGTGCAGATGGAAAGGCTTGGGGACGGGGCGGTGGGGGCCTGTACAACCGTCTTGGGGACGAGGCGGTGGGACCGTCATGGGCCGTTATGAACTGCTCTTGGTGCTGTCTTGGGTGCGTCTTGGGCCCTGTCGGGCGCCTCTGGAGCCGTCCCGGGGCCGTGAGTGGCCGTTTGGGGGCCCTCCTGAGGGCCTCTGAGCGCGTCTTGAGGCGATTCCAATAGGGAATGTGACGATTTCGGCCTTTGGGCTCCTCCTGGAGGCCCTCCTGAGCAATCTTGGGGATATCCTGGCCTGCCTTGGGGGCCTCTGGGGCTGTCTTGGGGCTCCCAGGGGTGCCCTGAGGCCGTCTTGGCGCCCCCTGGAGCCTCTCGGAGCCGTCCCGTGGGCCATTAGTGACTGCTCTTGGGGCTGTCTTGGGTGCGTCTTGGGCCGTCTCGGGCGCCTCTGGAGCCGTCCGGGGGCCGTGTGGGGCTGTTTGGGGGCCCTCCTGGGGGCCGCTGGTCTTGGGAGGAGCTGGGGGGCCTGTACAGCCAGCCGTCTTGGACGCTGCGAGGACGAAGAAACAAGATACAGTGATAATGTGCGTTTCCCGTCAGGAATGGGACGATTTTGGCCTCTTGGGCCCCTCGGGAAAGCGATAATTGTGGCCTCCTGGGGCCCTCCTGGGAAGCCTCTTCGGCGTCTCGTGGTCCGTCGTAGAGGCGTCTGGGGCCGTCTTGGCGCCGCAAGAGGCAGTCTTGGCTTGTCGTGGAGCGCTCTTGGAGCGTCTTGGGGATACCTTGGGCCGTCCTGGGAGCCTCTTGGTGTCGCCCTGGGGCTGTTTTGGGCGCCTCTTGGGCTCTATTGACGCCCTCTCGGGCCGGTTTTCGCGCGTCTTGGGGGCCTCTTGGGACGCCTTGGGGCGGTCGTGGGGACTTGGAACCAGCTTCTGCGCCATATTCCTGACAAGCAACGCATGCTAAAAGTGAGCGTTTTTCTTCTGGAAAACAATGATTTTCGCCTCTGGGGACCATCCTTGGACGCCTCTTGGGCGTCTCTGGGGCCGTCGTGGAGGCCTCCTGGGCCGTCTTGGGTTCGTTTTCGGCGGTCTTGGGCTCTCTTGGAGCGCTCTTGGGTCGTCTTGGGTGTGTGTGGGGCCGTCCTGGGCGCCTCCTGGGAGCCTCTTGGGGCCGCCTGGGGGCCGTGTTGGGCGCCTCTTGGGTCTCTTGACGCTCTCTCGGGCCGGTTTTCGTGCCTCTGGGGGGCCTCTTGGGCCGTCTTGGGGCGGTCGTGGGGGCCTCTTGTCCCGTCTTGTGCGCCATATTCCCGACAAGCAGTGTATGCTAAAATTGGACGCTTTTCTTCTGAAAAAAACAATGATTTTCGCCTCTGGGGGCCATCCTTGGACGCCTCTTGGGCGTCTCTGGGGCCGTCGTGGAGGCCTCCTGGGCCTTCTTGGGTTCGTTTTCGGCGGTCTTGGGCTCTCTTGGAGCGCTCTTGGGCCGTCTTGAGTGTGTGTGGGGCCGTCCTGGGCGCCTCCTGGGAACCTCTTGGGGCCGCCTGGGGGCCGTGTTGGGCGCCTCTTGGGTCTCTTGACGCTCTCTCGGGCCGGTTTTCGTGCCTCTGGGGGGCCTCTTGGGCCGTCTTGGGGCGGTCGTGGGGGCCTCTTGTCCCGTCTTGTGCGCCATATTCCCGACAAGCAGTGCATGCTAAAATTGGACGCTTTTCTTCGGAAAAACAATGATTTGGGCCTGTGGGGGCCATCCTGGGGCGCCTCTTGGGCGTCTCTGGGGCCGTCGTGGAGGCCTCTGGGCCTTGTCGGGGCCGTTTTCGGCGGTCTTGAGCTCTCTTGGAGCGCTCTTGGGCCGTTTTGGGGGTGTCTAGGGCCGTCCTGGGCGCCTCTGGGGCTGCGTGAGCGCCTCTAGGGCGTCCCCGGAGCCGTTGTGGGGCACTTTACGCCCATCAAGACAGGGACACTTCCCGCACGCACGGGTCCCTGCATTGTAGAGAAGATGACGTTGGGCTCCAGCTTCGCCTCCCACATCTCGCTCAGCAGCGCAAGCGCCGGCTGCCACTGCTCGCCCTTCTCGCACGCGCTGATCCCAGCGCTGTAGCTGATGACGTCGGGCTCCAGCTTCGCCTCCCGCATCTCGCTCAGCAGCGCAAGCGCCCGCTGCCACTGCCCGCCCTTCTCGCACGCGCTGATCCCAGCGTTGTAGCTGATGACGTTGGGCTCCAGCTTCGCCTCCCACATCTCGCTCAGCAGCGCAAGCGCCGGCTGCCACTGCTCGCCCTTCTCGCACGCGCTGATCCCAGCGTTGTAGCTGACTAGGGCAGACCTGTGGACTCCGTCCACGACATCAGCTCGACGTGGCCAGTTGAAGGCGCTCTCCACACCCTCCAGGACCTCCTGCTCTCCTGTGTTCCTCAGCTGCTGCTGCTGCTCGGAGGTCCTGCTGCTTCCTCCCCCTCCTCCTCCTCCTCCTCCGCCTCCTCCTCCTCCTCCTCCTCCTCTTCCACCTTCTTCTCCTCTTTCGCTGGATTCTCCATGCCCTCGGTCGGCAATCGTCGATCCTACGACGACTCTCCCCAACAGAGAAACATCGAAGGCCCTCGGAGCGTCCAACATTGTTCTTTTGTGCCTTCGATATGCCGGTCGCCTCTCGTCCGCTCCCCCCCTCCTGGAAGCAATTCTGAGGCCACGTAGGGCTTCGTGGGGGCCGTTTGGGGATCTCTTGGGGCGTTTTTGCCTGCGATATGCCTGTCGCCTCTCGTCCGCTCCCCCGCTCCTGGAGGGAATTCTGAAGCCCCTGAAGGCTTCGTGGGGGCCGTTTCGGAGCCTCTTCGGCATTCTTTTGGGCCTCCCGGGGGGGCCTGAGGGCCCTCTCGGGCCGTCTTGGGTGCCTCTTGGGCCGTCTTGGGGCCGTCTGAAGCCGGCTTCGGCGCCTCTTGGGCTGTCTTGGGCCGTCTTGGGCCGCTCCTGGGGCCGTCTTGGGTGCCTCTTGGGCCGTCTGGGGTGCCTCCTGGGCCGTCCTGGGGCCGTCCTGGGCCGCCGTGGGGCCGTCTTGGGGCCCTCTTGGCCCGTCTTGGGGCTCTCTTGGGGTCCTCTTCGGCCGTCTTGGAGCGGTCTGGGGGAGCTCTTGGCCCGTCTTGGAGCGTCGGGGTGCCGAAAAGGCGAGGAGGCCGAAACCATCGAAAAACACAATGGAAATCGACGGTTTCTGCCGCTCGGGGCCCTCTTGGGAGGCCTCTGGGGAAGCCTCTTGGGGCGTCTTGGAGGCTTCTTGGGCCGTCTTGGGCTAATCTTGAGCGTCTTGGGCCCATCTTGGGGCGTGCCGGGGCCCTCCGGAGCCGTCTTGGGGGCCTCTTGGGGCCTCCTTGGCGCGTCGGGGGGCCTCCCGGGGCGGCCCGGGGCGGCCCGGGGCCAGCCCGGGGCGATTATGAGTTAATGGGGCCTGCGCCCTTCTGGCACGCACTGGGCCCTGCAATGTAGTAGAGACTAGGGCAGACCTGTGGACTCCGTCCACGACATCAGCTCGACGTGGCCAGTTGAAGGCGCTCTCCACACCCTCCAGGACCTCCTGCTCTCCTGTGTTCCTCAGCTGCTGCTGCTGCTCGGAGGTCCTGCTGCTTCCTCCCCCTCCTCCTCCTCCTCCTCCGCCTCCTCCTCCTCCTCCTCCTCCTCCTCCTCCTCCTCCTCCTCCTCTTCCACCTTCTTCTCCTCTTTCACTGGATTCTCCATGCCCTCGGTCGGCAATCGTCGATCCTACGACGACTCTCCCCAACAGAGAAACATCGAAGGCCCTCGGAGCGTCCAACATTGTTCTTTTGTGCCTTCGATATGCCGGTCGCCTCTCGTCCGCTCCCCCCCTCCTGGAAGCAATTCTGAGGCCACGTAGGGCTTCGTGGGGGCCGTTTGGGGATCTCTTGGGGCGTTTTTGCCTGCGATATGCCTGTCGCCTCTCGTCCGCTCCCCCGCTCCTGGAGGGAATTCTGAAGCCACTGAAGGCTTCGTGGGGGCCGTTTCGGAGCCTCTTCGGCCTTCTTTTGGGCCTCCCGGGGGGGCTCTTAGGGCCCTCTCGGGCCGTCTTGGGTGCCTCTTGGGCCGTCTTGGGGCCGTCTGAGGCCCGCCTCGGCGCCTCTTGGGCTGTCTTGGGCCGTCTTGGGCCGCTCCTGGGGCCGTCTTGGGTGCCTCTTGGGCCGTCTTGGGCGCCTCCTGGGCCGTCCTGGGGCCGTCCTGGGGCGTCTTGGGACCGTCTTGGGGCCCTCCTGGCCCGTCTTGGGGCTCTCTTGGGGTCCTCTTCGGCCGTCTTGGAGCGGTCGGGGGGACTTCTTGGGCCGTCTTGGAGCGTCGGGAAGCCGAAGAGGCGAGGAGGCCGAAAACATCGAAAAACACAATAGAAATCAACGATTTCTGTCGCTCGGGGCCCTCTTGGGAGGCCTCTTCGGGCGTCTTGGACGCCTCTTGGGCCGTCTGGGGCGACTCTCGGGCGTCTTGGGCCCGTCTTTAAGCGTGCCGGGGCTCTCCGCGGCCGTCTTGGGGGCTTCTGGGGGCCCTCTCGACATGTCCTGGAGCCTGCCTGGGCGGCCCGGGGCGGCCCGGGGCGGTTTTGACCCATTGGAGCCTGCGCCCTTCTGGCACGCACTGTGCCCTGCAATGTAGTAGAGATGACGTTGGGCTCCAGCTTCGCCTCCCACATCTCGCTCAGCAGCGCAAGCCCCCGCTGCCACTGCCCGCCCTTCTCGCACGCGCTGATCCCAGCGCTGTAGCTGATGACGTTGGGCTCCAGCTTCGCCCTCCACATGTCACTGAGCACTGAAAGCGCGTGTTGCCATTGCCCGCCTTTTCTGCATGCGCTGGCAGTCGCAATGTAGTGGCCTGGGACAAGTTGCACACCTAATCGAAGTCCTTCGCGGAGCAACCGCAGTGCTACGCTCCATTGTTTTGTCCGACCGCAGCTCTTGATCGACGCTTCGAGGGAAATAACGCCTTCTCGAGACCCTCGGCCGATGCCCAGCATCCGAGAAGACACGGCACCGCGGCTTGAGCCACATTGTAAATACCTTAAGTCAAAATGGCTTGAGCCAAAATGGCTTGAGCCTCTGGGACCCCAGATCTGGCCGAAAAACCGGCGCGCTCCCCCTCGAGACGCCGATTCCACCGTCGATCCTCGACCCTCGATCCGCGGTCGAAAAAAACTTCGATCCGGTCCGCGACACTCGATCACGTCGGCTCGGCCGACATCTGTGCCAGCGCCCGTATGCTCGCCACTTTCCTGACGGGGGCGTCTCCTGCTACCCAAAGGTGGAGAGAGTCGGGTGGCCAGGCGGGCCGAGCCTGTATCTCATCTTCTTCAGGCCCATGACGTTACCTCGCAGGGGGGCCAACAACAGGCAACTGGTTCCACGTGGCCCCTTCCTCCCCGTCCACCTCCCCCTCCACTTCCTCCTCCCCCTCCTCCTCCTCTTCCTCCTCCTCCTCCCTCCTCCTCCTCCTCCTCCTCCTCCTCTCCTCCTCCTCCTCCTCCTCCTCCTCCTCCTCCTCCTCCTCCGCCTTGTCCTCTTCATCCTCCTCCCCCTCCTCCTCCTCCTCCTCTTCCTTATCTTTCTTATCCAGTCTCTATCCCCCATTGGTATATGCTCCCGCTCGGCCACCTAGCTGGCCGATGGCACCCAAATCGGGGCCCTTCCACCCGAACTGCAAAAAGCAATACAACGTGGGCGACGTTCGTCTCAACATTTTTGTGTGGAGGAACAGGAGATGGAGCGGACAGCGATCATATTCGACGACTCCGAAGGGTGTGGTCTGCAAAGAGTGTGGCTTGCAACTGGCACCCTGGTGGGCACCAGGTTCCCGTGGCCCACGGGTGCCGGTCGCAAACCACAACCTGGCGTACAGTCGGGGCGTTGACCTAAGGAACGATAAATAAGGAACGAGGCCCCATTTTTTCCATAAGTTAAACTTCGATTCCCCATCGAAAACCTAAGGACAACCTAAGGCAAGCTGCGAAACAATTAAGGAACACGGAGCCACTCCTCAACGAAAAGGGTTCCTTGTTTAGCGCCCCGACTGTAAGCATAACCTGTGTAGCCCCCGAAATATTCACGATAACTATCATGCACGCGCCGGCTGGAGCGAATAGATCCTGCCCCCCCGGACCGACGGGCGCAGACGCAAAAAAGGGGCCACCCGTGACAACTACTGCCCGGGCACGGGCAGGAGCAAAGCAAGTCAATGGGGCGGAAATTAGGGCAGTTATAACGGTACGAAGTCAATCCCATCGACATTACGCCGTCCACGTTCCAAGATGCATTGCGGGACCGGGATGGGACGCACACCCCGCGCGAACGGCCGAAATGTCGCTCTCGCCTCGGCGACGCGCTCTCACTATTGTCCATCCATGTTTATATGCATAGAATTACACACATACACACATGCACGCATACATGTTCACATTCGTACACACATCCAAAAACTGGTTTAGATCTACCTACATGTAGATACATGTACATAGATACATATACATATACATTTGCGTCTACAAAAACAATTATATGTACACTTATATGTACAAATACCTATACACAGGCATCTATATATGTGTGAAAATATGCATATGCTGATACATGTACATATACATATACATTTGCATGCAGAGATACGTTGGCACCTACAAATACACATATATGCATAGACATCTACGTATAGATGCACACACATACCAACGAACACATGCACATACATATACAGCTAAATGCCCATGCACATATACACTTACATTCACAGATACATGTATACAGACACTTACATATACATCTACATATACGTAGGCATAAACATATATATACACACATATGCACATATATATATATATATATACACACATACATACATACATACATACATACATACATATGTATATACACGTACAGACACGTGTTTATATATACACAAGGCTGCATTGGCGCTGCGCGCCATGCACCTCGGTCCTCTTGAGTTTCGCACGCAAGTGGGGTGCGTGCGTGCGTACATGCGCGCATGCATGTATACACGCGCACACGCATGCACGATCTGCACACGTATCTATGTGTATACCACACATGTATACTGCTGTATATGTGTGAACATTTTACATATAAACAGGTGTCTGTATATGTATATGTCAATCGCAGGTGTTTGTTGGTGCACGCACCTATACGAAATTATGGGAGCGCATACACATGCAAATCTCAGGCGGTAATGGCCCGACCGCCTGCTCAGGGCATCTCGCAACTCAGAGGTGCGAGGGTCTCAGGCGAAAGTAGCCAGACTACTACGGCGCAATGCATACCCGATGTCAGCGTTGCGAAGATGTTTCAAGCGAGAAAGTGAACTGACCACCTCAGCTGAGGACATACCCGAACCCGGAATTGCGAGGATGTCTCAAACGAAAATGGCCTGAACACCTCAGCTCAGGGCATCTGAACTCAAAGTTGCGAGGATGTCTCAAGTGAAAATGGCGGACTACTCTGCGGCAGGGCATCTCGGAATCCAAAGTTGCGAGGATGTTTCTAGCGAAAGTGGCCGGAACACCTCAGCTCAGGGAGCCCCGGAACCCAGAGTTGCGAGAAGGTCTCAAGCGGAAGTGGCCGGACAACCTTGGGGCAGGGCTTCTCTGGGGTCAGAGTTGCGAGGATGTCTCAGCCGACAGTGGGAAGGAGGAAGGCGAAGGAAAAGAGTAATGGCAGGCACGAACGCTCAGGATCGGAAGTCATGGCATGGAGGCTGGAACTGACGCGGATGCAAGACGCTGGAAGCTGGCCTCCGAGAGCGCTGAAAGACAGGAGCACCTGAGAGGGACTCAACGACGGGCGCCGCCAGAACCTTTTTGGGAAAAATCTGGAGGCCTTGTGAACGTGTCGGAGTGCTACGTGTCTGATTGCTACGCGGCAAGGCGTATCCGAGGTTGACGTTGCGAGGATGTCTCAAGCGAAACTGGCCCGAGCACTATGGGACAGGGCATCTCCGAAGTCAGCTGCGCGATGGAGTCTCAAGCGAAGAGTGGTCTGAACACCTCAGGCCGGAAGGTCGAAGAACCCCCTTGCAAGAGCGTCCGAGCAGCCCCCGGGGAGCTTCCCAGCAGGTCGAGCAGCCCGGGAAGGGGCTTCCCAGCAGCCCAGGGAGTCCGAAATGCGTTCGGGGGGGGATGTGTGTGCACATGTGAATTTATTTTGTGTATGTATACACGTGCCTGAGTATGTATGTATGTATGTATGTATGTATGTATGTATGTATGTATGTATGTATGTATGTATGTACAACGCCTTCCAACGTCTGAAGACCCAAGAGCGTTTGACGATGTCTACATCCGTGCAATAATTGCTTTACAAGGAAATTCCATGTAAAACGCTCTTGGGCCGTCTTGGGCCGTTCGTTGCCCGAAAAAACGAAAACCGACAAAAAACTTCAAACCTGTTCAACACATCAATGAATTTTGCCTCTTTGGGCCTTCTTGGGGGCCCTTTTGAACCGTTTTGGGACTCTCCTGAGCCGTTTTGGGATCCTTTCGGGCCGTCTTGGGGCGTCTTGGAGTCCTTCGGCCGTCTTCGGGCTGTCTTGGGGGCCTCTTGGGGCCCTCTTGGGAGCCTCTTGGGTGCTCCTGCGGCTCTCTTGGGGCCGTCTTGGGGCTCCCTTGATAGTTTTCGGGCCCTCTTGGGCCGTCCAGGGGCCCTCTCGGGCTGTTTTCGAGCCCTTTGGGGGGCCTCTGGGGCCGTGTTGGGACGATCGTTGCAGCCTCTTGGGCAGTCTTGGGCCGTTCTTGTCCCGGAAAAGCGGAAACCGAAGAAGCCTTCAAAAACCATTGAAAAATCAAGAATTTAGCCTCTTTGGGCCCTCTTGGGAAGCCTCTTGGAGGCCTCTTGGGGCGTTTGGAAGCCATGTTGAAGGTTTCGGTGTGCTTTGGAACTGTCGACGAGCTATCTTGGGCAATATTGGAGGCCTCTTTGGACCTTCCAAGAAAACCAAAAGGCCGAAAGAACCCTTTGCAAGGGCGTCCGAGCAGCCCGGGAGGGACTTCAAGCAGCCCGGGGAGTCCGAAATTCGTTAGGTGTTGGGGGGGGGTGCGCTTCTTCCTGGGTCCCCAGCCCTATATAAATATAGAACTCGGAATGTATAGATACATATACACATACATACGTACATACATACATACATACATACATACATACATACATACATGCATGCATGCATGCATGCATGCATGCATGCATGCATACATATATACATACGCACTCCAGCTGGGGAGCGAGGCTTGTTTGTCGCACGCCACGTCGTCGACGCGCGAGCAGGCGAAAAGGTAGCTCTCTCGGTTCGGCGCCGCGCAGATTTCGCCTGAGAGTGGCGTTCCCGCCTCGACGCGGCGCATATTTGTCATTCACCAATTTTGCGGGGCCGAGCCGGATCGCGCAATTCGGCGGCGAGCCCAGGGGGGAAGTCAGAGGGGGCGGGCCTTCTTAGAGGGCTCGGGAGGCCTCCGGCCTTCTCCAAAGACAGAGACGCCTGCCCCCTTCTCACTTCCCCTCCAGGCACGCTGCCTAGAAATCTGACGGAGGACATAGCGATTTCAATCCCCGAGTTTGTATGGGTGTTCAGAGGAGCCCACAATTTGAGGCACCAACTCGGGGATGCACGACGGGTGCGTCCTTCCTCGATAGGGGTACGGCCGAATAGCCCCCTGCGAGTGTATCGCTGAGCCCCCCCCCTGTACTGAGCGGCCTCATTCTTCGGGCGGATCTCGGGGACTGAGATGGAAAAATCGCCTGCAAAAATCGGAGGCGAACCGAACCGCATCGAAGAGGGTCGCGGGCGGCCCTGACAGAGCTACCGATGAGAGTCGCGCGCCCGTGCGGCCTCTCCTCCTCCTCCTCCCCCTCCTGCTCCTCCTCCTCCTCCTCCTCCTCCTCCTCCTCCTCCTCCTCCTCCTACACCATTCCTTTTTCTTATCAATAACTTCTCCCTGTCGCGCCCCGAGGCTAGTTTTCAGGGCGGGCCGGGCGTTTCGCCTGAGACTTCCTCGCCACTTCTGACTCTGAATTACAAAAAAATGGCAACGGCTTCATAGATGGAGGGCGGGATGCTTTTAAAATGTGGCTCTCACCTTAGCGCCGCGCGCATTAGATTTTTGATTTGCAAATGCAAGAGCTTCACGGATTGAAGGCGAATCGTGTTCAAAATGTGGCTCTCGCCTAAGCGCCGCGCACATTCGTTTGAACAAATTGCAAGAGCTTCAGGGATTGAGGGCGAGTGGCTTTCAAGATGTGATTCTCGCCTCAGCGCCGCGCACATTTGTTTAAACAAATGTGTAAGAGCTTGACGTATTGAGGGCGATCCTTTTCAAAATGTGGCTCTCGCCTTCGCGCAGCGCACACTCATTTTAACATGTGCAAAAGTTTCACGGATTGGGGGCGGCTCCTGTTCAAAATGTGGCTCTCGCCTCAGCGCAGCGCCCATTCGTTTTGAGATTTCCAAGAGCTGCATGGATTGAGGTCGAGTGGTTTTCAAAATGTGGCTCTCGCCTTAGCGCCGCGCACATTCGCTTATAAACTGTGCAAGAGGTTCACGGAATTGCATGGTCAACGTACCAGCCACGGTGTTCTGGAAGGATTCAGGATTTTGCGGGTGCAACAGTTACGCTGGTTCGCGGCGTTGAAATCCCAGGGATGGCGTTCTGGCATCATTGAAGACCGTCAAGACGCAACAGTCAGGTTGATCCTCGGCGCTAGAATCCCGAGAACAATGCTTATGCGTGCTTAAGGGTCTTCAAGTTGCACTCCAACGAGGCAATTCCCTCAATGGAAATGAACCGTTATAGGGGCCTATGAAGAGGGACCTTGGAGGGAGGCTTTATTCCAACATCGTTGATGACTCTTGGGTTTACACTGGTCCTCCTCCTCCTCCTCCTCCTCCTCCTCCTTCCCCTCCTCCCCAGCGCGCGAAAGAAGACGATGTCGAGTACATGACGGGTCAAAAGCGTGGCAAGGACACGATTGGGCGTGGTGCTTTGTTCGACGGTGCGCCAAGAGGGCGAAGTTAGGGGGGGAACCCTTCTCAGAGGGCGGCGGGGCTTCTGAGAAGCCCTCTGGCCTTCTGAGACACCCTCTGGCTGTGCAGAAGGCCTGGGAAACTTCCAAGAAGGTCGGAGGCCTTCTCTGAGCTTTCTGAGACGGCCTGGCTTGCTCTCTCTCCGAGGACAAGGCCTGCTGGAGGCCTTCCGTTCCGATCGCGTTGCGCCCGAGGTCGATCCTGCTGGTTTCCCTCGGGACGTGGTCCTGGCCGCCGGGGGTCCTGTGGTTGCTGGGAGTCTGGCTCTCGACCCATCCCACCGCCTGGCCGATTGGGACCTGCACTCGCTCTCTGCTCGTCTCCGGTGCAGTCGCGAAAAAAAGGGCTGGCCCACTTGCCCAGAACCCGAAGAGGCCTTCGCCCCGGTTGCGCGGGCCCGTGACGAGCGAGTCGTGACCTCGCCCATGCTCGCGTGGTTTCAGCCGCCGCGTCCGAGGCTTCGGCGGCCTACAGAGAGCGAAGCCCGCCACCCTCCCCGCCCTTGGAGGCGCTGGCGAAGATGGCGCCGAGAGAGCCCAAGACGGTCCCAGAATCCGAAGAAAACATTCAGGAGGCCAAAATCATTGACTTCCCGGCGGTTCTTCAGCTACGCTTCTCGTTGATCCCCAGACCGCATCGAGTCATCATCAACAAGCACGACGGAAGGTGCTTCGCTAAGTTCGGCCTCTGGGGGGCCTTACCTGGCCTCAAGACTGGTTAAAGACGACTCAGGATGAGAAGCTGGTCCCAGGGAATGGGTCGAGACCTCTGGGGGTCGACGCTGTGAACAAGTCACGGCGTCGGGGGTCTGGGTAATCATCATGCTCATCGTCATCGTCATCGTCATCGTCATCATCATCATCATCATCATCATCATCATCATCATCATCATCATCATCATCATCATCATCATCATCATCATCATCATCATGAGCAGCATCATGAGCAGCATCATCATCATCATCATCATCATCATCATCATCATCATCATCATCATCATCATCATCATCATCATCATCATCATCATCATCATCATCATCATCATCATCATCATGACCCCAGTGGGGGGTACTACATGCGTCCGCCACACCTAGTACAGCGTTTCGTGGCCCCAGGGGGAGCTCCACCGAAGGCCCCAGTGGGGGGTGGCCACATGCGTCCGCCACACCCAGTGCAGCGCTTCGTGGCCCCATAGGGAGCTCCACCGAAGACCCCAGTGGGAAGTACCACATGCGTCTGCCACACCCAGTGCAGCGCTTCGTGGTCCCATAGGGAGCTTCACCGAAGGCCCCAGTGGGGGTGGCCGCCACACCCAGTACAACGCTTCGTGGCCCAATAGGCTCCACCGAAACCCCCAGTGGGACCGCCCACATGCGTCACGCACACCCAATTTGGCAGTTTCACCCACCCAGTACAACGTTTCGTGGCCCCAGAGGAAGCTCCACCGAATCCCCCCGTGGGACCGTCTGCATGCGCCACGCACACCCAATGTGGCATTTTCACCCACCCAGTATAGCGTTTCGTGCCCCCATTGGGAGATCCACCAAAGCCCCCAGTGGGACCGTCCGCATGCGCCCCAGAAGCTCAATTTGGCATTTTCCCCCATCCAGTACAGCGCTTCGTGGCTCCATCGGGAGCTCCACCGAAGCCCCCAATGGGACCGGGGCTCCACCGAAGGCCCCCAGTGGGACAGTCCGCATGCGTCCCACACACCCAATTTGTCATTTTCACCCACCCAATATAGCGCTTCGTGGCCCAATAGGGAGCTCCACCGACGGCCCCAGTGCTACCGCCCGCACGCGTTCCCCCCCACCCAGTGCAGCGCTTCGTGGCCCCATAGGGAGCTTCACCGAAGAAGATATTCACAATTGCGGTACCCACAACTGCGTACGGTCGGGTCCTTCGCCAGGATATGTTCGATGCGTAGACCCCCATGAGGTCTGGATCACCTCCCTCCTCCTCCTCTCCCTCCTCCTCCTCCTCCTCCCCAGGGCAGGCTTGCCGTCCTGAATGTTTGTCTGACGGTCCAGGGGCCCGGCGAGGGCCCCCGGAGGCCACGGCCAAAGACCAGCCTGCCTCGACTCCTGCGGTGGGGGCCCCTGCCAGGAAACACCCCGCTTGCCGTCATCGCTGGTCCGTGGGATCTGAGGAAACCGGTAGCCGGCGTCGAGAGGCTTTGAAAATAGCATCAGGAAGGTCCAGGGGCCCAGCGAGGGCCCCCGGAGGCCACAGCCAAAGACCAGCCGCCACAACTCTTCTGGGGCCTCGGAGCTCTGGGCCCCGGGGCGCGGAAAAGGTCGGCCCACCGACTTCACCGACGGGGCAGACTGGCTGCGACTGCGGCCCGGCGGCAGCGCCGCTGGGGCAGGTGGAGGGAGGACGAGGAGGAGGGAGGAGGAAGAGGAGGGAGAGAGGGACGGAGGACGAGGAGCAGGAGGGGGAAGAAAGGACAAAGGAGGCGGGAAGAGCAGGAAGAAGGAGGGAGGAAGCAGGGAGGAGGGAGGAATCGAATCGAATCGAGCTCTGGGGACACTGAGTTCGCCTGAACGCGTGAGACGCCAGGGCTTCACCTGGCACTTTGCCAGTTCAAATTAAGCCTGTCGACGCCCTGAGGACCTATCAGGGGACTTTGCAAACCTGCCGTGCAGGCAGGATTACTGTTCGGGTGATCTGTGGCACTCTCGTTTGCAGACAGGCTGAGGGGCCACCTCACACGCACACGGCGTTCGGGGAATGTGCACGGCTCGTAGCTGTCCCCCAATCCCTCCCAAAATATGCCCCTCCATCCTACCACCCTACTCGCCATCCCGCCCACCCGCTCTCCCTCCATCCATCCATCAATACCCTTCGTCATCTCCTTCTCTCATTCCTGTCCCGTATCACCCCACCCGTCTCCTCACATTTCTCCTTCTCCCCCTGCCCTTTTCCCCCCTCCCCCTTCTCCTCCTCCTGCTCCTCCTCCTCCTCCTCCTCCTCCTCCTCCTCCTCCTCCTCCTCCTCCTCCTCCTCCTACCTCCTCCTCCCTCCTCCTCCTCCTCCTCCTCCTCCTCCTCCTCCTCCTCCTTCTACTACTCTTCAATCCCTTCCCATTCTGAAGTAATCCTCCCAGTCGCAACCCCAGACGTGTCGGAAGGGTGGGCCGGGCGTTTCGCCTGAGACTCTCTCACCATTTACGATCCCGAAGCTTGAAATTGGCAAAAAAGTGCCACGGATGGAGGGCGGGCCGTCGTCCAAGTGTGGCTCTCGCCTTAGCGCCGCGCCTCAGGAAGTTCGCAACAGCTTCACGGATGGAGGGCGGGCCGCGTTCATAATGTGGCTCTCGCCTCAGCGCCGCGCTCCTTCGTCTTAACTCTCTGCAGCAGTTTCACTGATAGAGGGCGGGCGATGTTCGAAATGTGGCTCTCGCCAGCGCTTCGCGCACATTCGTGTTCAAACTTTGTAGCAGTTTTGGCGGCTCCTTCAAGAGAAGGTTCTCGACTCGGCGCCGTGCACATTCTTGATAAAAGCGTGCAACAACTTCAAATTTTCGTGCAGTAGAAGTCCCAGGACAGGCATTCTGGGACGATTGAGGATTGTCAGGACGCAACAGTCACGTTGAAACACGGTGTTGGAGTCCCAGGCGTGATGTTCTGGCACGCATTCGAATCGTCAGGACGTTGCAGTCACGTTGATTCACGGCGTCGAAGTCACAGCAATGGTGCTTTCGCACGCTTGAAGATTCACAAACGGTTGTCTTCCAGTTGGGCACCTCCCGCAATGAACACAACTTATTGTGGGGATCTGCGAAGCGGGAGCCTGGAAGGAGGCTGTATGGCAACATCGTTGATGCGTCGTGGGTTTACGCTGGTCTTCCTCCCATTCCTACTCCTCGCAATCCTACTCCCCCTCCACCGTCCGGTTCGCTCGCGGCCTTTGCTCTCGAGGTGCATGCACTTGGCCGCGCAGGCGTGGATGAGCTCCGTGATCTGGCTTTCTGGAGTCTTTGCCGCATCCTGTGGGGTCCAGGGCCGCTCCGCTGCGGACACCTGGCAGGAGAGAGCCCTGGAGGCGCGAGCCGGCCAGAAGGCCAACGGCAATGCAGCCCGACGGGGGGGGGGCGGGCTCGAGGACGGGGGGGGGGCGGAGCCAGACGAGGGGGCTGCCTCCACCCCCTTGTTCCTCCTCCTCCTCCTCCTCCTCCTCCTCCTCCTCCTCCTCCTCTCCTCCTCCTCCTCCTCCTCCTCCTCCTCCTCCTCCTCCTCCTCCTCCTCCTCCTCCTCCTCCTCCTCCTCCTCCTCCTCCTCCTCCTCCTCCTCCTCCTCCTCCTCCTCCTCCTCCTCCTCCTCCTCCTCCTCCTCCTCCTCCTCCTCCTCCTCCCTCCTCCTCCTCCTCCTCTCTCCTCCTCCTCCTCCTCCTCCTCCTCCTCCTCCTCCTCCCTCCTCCTCCTCCTCCTCC